CCTGCTGCGTTATTTTCTAACATAAGGATGCCACCTAGTGACAATAACTGTCTGCATCTTAAATTTGGCTTAATTTCTAATCTATGTCCACAAGGATATGAAATATATTATTATTAATGCTTGGTCAGTTAAGGGGAATTGTGCCCATGCATAACTACAAGATAAAATTATTGCTAGTATTTCACTAAAGTAAGATATATCCGACATCACAATTTTAGATGGGTTTGACAGAGATAGGCTGGATTTTTGAACATATGTATGAACCAGTTGTACCCAACTACATATAGATTTTCAACTGTTATTGCCAATGAATGGATTATTTCTAATATTGTCCTATACTTACTTAATTTATGAATGCCACCTAAACCCTTTGAAAATGGGACCCAATTGCTGTTCCCATAAATTTTTCAGGAAATAGTTGTGCAGAACAGACGAGATCTCAGGTCCTGTCCCTACTCTGGTGAATATTATAAGGAGATGAAAACAAGTTATTGCTGGACCAGAGAAAAATAGGCGCTTTTTTTTTTTCTTTCTTTTTTCTGTCTTTTTTCTTTTTTTTTCCTTTTTATTTTTTTTTTCCTTTTCTTTTTTTTTACTGAACACCTAAGCCCCTCAGCAAGCAAGTTACACCCAAAGTGTATTTATTTCAGGTAAAGCGGAACAGCTCCAGTAAGCTGACTGGAAAACCCCCTCAGCCTAATAAAACATGTGCTTGTTTATAGAAATAACTTCTAAGGTAGCAGGTACTGCTTCTATCTCTCCAGCTGGGTAGATAACTACATCCAGCCCTCCAGTATTTTCAGTATGTGCTTCACTAATGAATCCTTTTTTCAGCCATGTTTTGCACAGAGCCAAATCTGATAACTATGCTCAGGAAATACTCCACTCTGAGGTCTAATCTGTGGATCCAGGTACGGTTTAGCCTTGAGCTGTATCCATGCAGTGTAGCCATAATCAGTGGTTTGGGCCAGCTACCACTATCGCTTAGCACTGCATCCTCTGAAACCTCCTGCTGCATTTTCACCCCATCTTCCAGCTCCTATTATTTCTGGCTCCTCATAAACCCAACAAGGTCCCTCCAGTTCTGGGCCCAAGCAATTCGTTGCTTCTCATTAGCAAGACCCGGGCACGTCTGGAAGTGGTCAGAAGCAAACCACTGGACAGAGTCTTTGCACTGGTGAAAATTTAGATGCCAGCAAAGGGTAGGTGTCTCTAGGGCCAGGCACTAATGCAATGACAGTGAGATCTTTGAACTTAGGTGCCTGATGTATCGGACGTTTTTCTGGCAGGTGAGCTTAGATGTTAATTTAATGCCTTCATGTTTTGTGTGTGAATCTCTCCCAAAGACATTAAGTCAGTTTTGTAAATGAGGCCAAGCCCATCAATGAATCTTAAAATTCTTGTCCTTGTGCTGTTCCAACAGTAAATGTTGCAGTGCTGGTAGAAACCATGTCCATATTCTGGTTAGACTGTATGTAACTTACTGACTCACCTTCTTACCTGAATTTGAGCAAATACTAATGAGCCATGTTTATAATGCATTTCCTATCATATGCAATGAAATCAATAAGTAGAGCATTACCAAATTGTTTTGATTTTGTTTTTTAATCTATGGTCTGCAGGTGGTGAACTTTTTACTGGTCTCTACAGTGACTACTGGGGAAGAGATGCTGCTTTGTTTCGCACCATGACTCGCATGGCCCATCTCCGAACTGAACCTGATAGTGAGCGCCTCTTGAAAGGTATGGGAAGAAGGAGAAAGAAGAACATGGAACCAGAGGTGTTTCAGATAACTAGAGAATCTCTGTTTAACCAGAAATTAAAATGATACTGTCCATGCATAGGTATATCCATTTGGAGGTGAATTTGTTTAAACTATCTTTTTTCCATTAAATTTTTCATGAACCTTCTGCCCGGATGAACATATTGAAATCATTGCTTTGATTACATATTAGAGTTAACAACTGGAACTTTAAGTCCTTCATTTTTCACTTTTAAAATTGCTTTTAATTTATACTCTGGGTATTCTATACTATTTCATGATATGCCAGATATAATTAAAATAATACTTTAAAATTATGTATTTAATTAATGGTAGCTTCTAATTAGAACACAGTACTCTTTTTTTCTAGATGAGCTCATTTTGTCTTTATATTGCAATAAAACAGCTCAATCTTTGCCAAGCTGTGTAGTAAAAAGATGTCATGCAATAACGCAAAATAATAAACATACAATGATCATAAAGTTAAATGAAATAAAAAGTTAAAGCAGGCAATTTTAAAGAAGAAAATTAAAATATTCCACAAGAAAAATATTGAGAAAAATCATGTGCTGGGAAATTTAGAAATTTTTTCATACTCTTTCATGTCAAATCTAAATGAATTTCAAAGTATTGAAATTTCTGTGAAATGGAGAGTCAGAATTTTGATTTAGAATCATAGAATCATAGAATCTTAAGGTTGGAAAAGACCTCTAAGATCATCAGTTCCAACCATCAAAAACCTGTCTGTTTTTCTCCAGAAGTATTGCAATATTTCATTATAACATTGACATAATTGCTGCTAATGTTTGTTAAGGAGAGTCAACAATTGCCTTTTATGGTGATACATATGGTGACCATCATATTTTCAGTGAAAGTCATAGAAGTCTTTTCTCTCAAATTTCAAGGCAGTTTTCTCCCAGATCAGAAGAGAGAAAATAGTTCTTCTGCATAATTCTTCTGACATGAATCTGACCTTAGTCTTGAATTATTTTCTTTTTCTTTTTCTTTCTTTCTTTTTTTTTTTTAAATATGTTTAGAAGATGCTTAGACATGCTTTAAGTCCAACACTTAGAGCTTTGCCAGACTGAGTGTTTAGACTGGCTAGATAAGGGTAGCAACAATCAGGTAGATGTTCACAATGTCCAAGTGAAGTTTTCTCTTCTCTTCTCTTCTCTTCCGTCTGGAAGATTTCATTATTTTAAGTATAGAATTCTCTAAATTATAGCCTCAAACTTTGCTTTTCAGTTTGTCTACACTTGAAATTTAAATTTGCCGAAAGGGAATATCTTAAAATGTATATTAAAAACACTTCAGAAAATTAGCAAGTGCTGTATCAATGTCTTAAAATACAATGGCTGTTTTCATAGAGAACAGGAAGTTAGAAAAAATTTACATCACCCACTGCTTCTTAAGAAATCATACTAATTGTATGAATGACGTTGTCATTTAAAAAACTCGTAAAAACTTTTCTACAATTCAGTGGGATGAAATCATCCACAGGTCTGCTTAGTGTGGGGTTAAAAGTTATACAGGCATAGACTGAAGTCTGAACTTGGGTTTCAACTTTGCAGCAAAATGTCAAAACAGGAAAAATTTAGAAGGTTTTTATTTCATGACAAAGATACACAATACATCTTCTGTCTATGAAGGTACATGTTCATATAACATCTATTAGCTGAACTACCAGAGCTTTTGCTTTATCTAAAAGGCTGTTTGTCCAAAGTTGACATTCCTACACCTGGTCTGTATGGGATCAAAGACTGTTATGTGAGTAATAGTGCCAGGTTTTAGCCTAATCCAAATTAAAATATATAAACCCTAGAGAATGGGACTGGAAAAAGGTCTTTTTCTTGCACACATACAAAGGAATATTGATCTGTGAATTGAAGCTATGAAAATAGTTTTACATTAATGTATTCCACATGTTCTACAGATACTCACCCACAAAGAAAAAATAGATTTTTTCCTATTTCTATCACCCTATTCCCCTTAGGTAGCTCTCTGACTGACAGATCCCTGATTCTTTAATTTTATTTTTTTTTCTTTGAGACCAGCTGATTTTAAGGATTGAAAAAAATAAAAGAATGTTTTAATAAACTTGAATTCAATTCCTTTTTGTTATTTTTTTTTAAAGAACCAAAATTTGTTGGCTCATACATGATTCCTGACAATGAAGACCACGATGATAACAAAGTATATTTCTTCTTTACTGAAAAAGCATTAGAAGCCGAGACAAGCACTCATGCTATATATACCAGAGTGGGACGTGTATGTGCGGTAAGATCCCTTTTCCGATTCCCCAGCTAAATGAGAAAAAAAAAAAAAAATCATTCTCCTTTCTTTGGTCCTTCTCCCCAAGGCAAATATGGCATCTGTTAGTGTATGTGAGAGTAAGTTATAGGTCTGAATGAAAACCCTCCATCTAAGCCTCAAGCATTGGAAAATTCAAAAGCAATCTGAAATCTGGACTTGAAGCCGAATTTTGCTGAGAGGAGGGCAAAGTTCAGAAATCCTGTTATTCAACAGGAATATTCCATCTCTCTTTGTGCTGATATGTGGTAACAGTAATAGCAGTTGCCCACAGGACTGACTCTCTTACCATCCATATTCTCAAATCAGACCAAAGCTCCATCACCATTAGTGTTGGCAGTAGGTCCAAGGCCTCTTGCAGCTCTCACAAGTGACATAAATTGATATTCCCTCATATTCCTGGTCACAGGATAAACCCAGCCACCAGCCCTCTCTGACATTCCCTCTTGCCTTCCTATTCTGTCAGCAAGGAGCAGACATTTGTGCAGGGTCGATGGCTATCCTGTCAGACAGCTGGATTGGACAAGAGGCAATGGGCATAGACTAAAACACATGAAATCCATTGAACGTAAGAAAACATTTTTATACTACAAGGTGCTTGAACACCGACACCAGTTGCCCAGAGTATCCATCCTTGGAGATATTCAAAACCTGCCTGGATATGGGTCTGAGCAATTGGCTGAGCAGCTCACTCAAGGCAACTTACTTTGAGCAGGGCAGTTGGACTAGATGATCTCCACAGGTCCCTGCCAAATTCAACTATTCTGTGATTCTGTAAATTTTGAAAATGTCTTTCTGATGCATGAATGATAGGAGAGATAAAATGTCAACCATCTATAGAATGCTTTATAAATAGTAGCTAATAATAGCTACTAATAGTAGCTAATTAATGTTTTCATTTCATCTCATTCCTCTCCTTCTCAACAGCAACTAAGGGAAATTGTGCAGATAAGAAACTAGAACAGAGCATTGAGTTGTCTAGCAAATTATTATTGCAGATTTACCAGAAGGCACAGAAAAATCGTGAGGAAAGACCTTGCTTCCCTCCACTGCCCTGCACGATTATCCATTTCTCACTCAGGCCACGCTCCTGATGTACTGATCCCATCTCTTTTTGGCTCCCTGGCCCCCCACACAGGAAAGAGATCTCGGGCAGTTGCTGGAGAGGAGCACTTTTAACGTACGACCTCCCAGATTAAGCTGCCCATAGTTGGTCCTCTCTGGACGACTGCTGAAGTTTGGGTGCATTCCTTTTCTATTAATTGAACTACAGTAAGGCTGATGAGAGGAGCTCTCCCATCCCTATTGGGACTACATCTGACTGATTAAAGGAAGGAATGAGAAGCTTATTTATTAGCATCTGATTTTGTTTCTGAAAAAAAATTGCACTCCCTCTCCTAACTGTAGGGGATACATTCCTAAAACTATTGTGCAAAGAGCAAGACACAAGTTAAAAATCTCCTGTCACCTCAATGTATAGTATATGTCACATATGCTCACCAGCATACTACCTATTAACATTTCTTAAGGAGTACTCATGTATAACTTAAAACATCTGAAGTATGCAAAGTACCAAACTGCAGCCTAAGATATTAATGTTCACAAAGCCAGCTGGATTTCTGAATTCAAGCCTGCACCAAGATCTGAAGTAGAATTCTTTGGCCTGTGTTCTGGTAGATGTCTGAATAGATTATTTTAACAGTTCCCTCTAAGTCTGAAATATATCCACCTGAATGTCTTATCTCTAGGCACAGGTTTAACCAAAATCCCACAGATCTTTCTATTCCACTTGTACAAAACACCAAATGCTTTATCATCTGAACATTAACTTCACAGCCAAATGCTGTAATTCAAATTTGATTTAATGAATACAGAAAATAGCTAGCTGGTGATTCAAGAACAGGCTTTTTTCTCGCAGTTTTTATATTTTCATCTGAGCTAGAACAGATTTTGCAACACAGTCATCTACTCTGTATATTTCTACTTTTCTGAGGAAAACAGATATCTGATTTTGTAAGATCTCAATGTGAAGCTGAGGAAATCTGTTAAGTTTGGTAGTTTAGAATGAAGCTGTGAGAGGAGTTTTGCAAACCTGATAGAGGGGCTTCAACAGTTAGCTAACAGTCTACCTGAATATAAGGCCATAGCTTTGAGGAAGCTACCCAAAGGTTACAAATTGATTACTAAGTTTTACTAACTGCCCCCTTTTCATGACAATCCAAGAGTCGTAATAGCAAGAGAAAGATGAGACA